GACGCTTGTGGCCGTCGGTGTCGCCATCTATGGCCCCCTCGTCTCGTGGCTCAGCGGCAACGTTGGCTTCCTCGCGCAATTGTACCAATGGGCGTTTACGCTGCTCGTGCCCGCGTCCTTGCTCGGCCAGGAGAACGAGCTCGGGCCGGGTTGTGCCATGTACACGCTACTCATTGCGTGCCTCCCACTTGGCTACGGCTTTGCCGTCCCGGCGCTGCGCCACCGTATACGACGCCATGCGATGTCATGTCTCATATTGCGGCTAGGGTTACGGAAGCATCAAGGCGAGGCGCCGAATTATGCGAGCCCGTTCTACAACAGCATAAAAAACCGGACGATTTTCGGCCTGTTGGCGCCGTTCCGAGCCACAGCCGACGTGCATCCGATCGAAGCGACGACCCCGCGCGTTCTTGAGCGTGGGGGGGCTATCTACTCGCTCTTTGAGACCAATTCGCGGTACAAAAACTGCCCGACCATCAGCCTTCGAAGCGCCGACTGCTTCCTCCTCTGCTACCACAACGACACGCTCGTGTCCAAGATACGCCTGAGTCTTCTCTGCAGCCTCGACTGCAACGCTGCGACACCAGAGCTCGCAGTCGAGAACGCCGGGGGCAAAGCCACTTCCATTGCCAACGAGATCACCCTTGATTCGAGTGGCCGACCGAGTATGCGTCGGCCCGCAGAAGCTTCCCCATGGTGCATTTGAGTGGCCGACGATGTACGACAGTTGACACTACTGGTGCTAAAATTAGTGCTCTCATGCTATGTTTATAAAGCGATCACTCATCTGCCGATAGTTATGACGGAACACGTGGCATGATGGCTGACATGTAATTGTTGTTGACAACGCCGGCATATAAGATCCTGTCTTGTCATGGCAGGGGTATCGTCTGCAGACAGGCAGTCGTGTGCCTTGTGGCGAAGTCTGTAAGGTCCGAGCGCAAAGACACGCCACGCAAGTGTCTTTGGGCGACCACCGGAGCCTCCGACACCAACGACTCGTTACCTGTATATGTGAATATGGATAGCTAGAGGTCGCGAGTATAAACAAGAAGAATGCATATCGAGATTTACCTCACCACAAGCAGGGCTCTACAAAGTCCGCCAGTGCAGTCAAGTGCACCAAATCTGCACATCTCTGGCAGTATCCTGATGCCACAAGTCTTAAATAGAAAAGTCGTGGGCAAGACTCAGGGCAAGACTATTTATATAAATCAACTGGGATGCCCAAGGTCGTGGCTGTGGCCGGCCCCGCGCGCGAGTTTCGCGTGCACCGAAATCACGGCGCATGGCTCCTTTGTGTTGTGATGCTGGCCAATCTCATCTCGATCGTACGTCTCCCTGTCTGTGACACAGTTTAGGATGGTATGATGGTGTAGCCCGCACGCGCGTACCTCTCCGAGTCGATTCCAGGCATGGACCCGACCATCGATGCCCCCGTCTTTGCTTCGTTTGCAGCGCTGGAAAATGCAACGCTCGCTGCCTACATGACCACGTACAACGACGTCTCCGCGCTCGGGTACCAGTACGACGACACCAACAGCATCTACGTTCTGCGTCGCACACTCGACATGTCGACAACGTCAACTGCACTGCGCTGCTTTCAAGAGTTTGCCTTGGGTCTCCCCGGGCTCATCTATTACACCGCCGCCCAACTGAGCTTTCTCTGCGCCTTCCTCGCCAGCGACACTCGGCTGTCGTACGTGAACCGCGGCTCGTGCCACGTCGATCGAAGCTGCGCTCTGGACATTGGCCACTCGTGCATTTGGCTCTCGCAGAGAAAAGGGGATCATCCCGACGTCTACCTTCTCTCGTACGCGTACACGGCGGTCCGCTGGAACGAGTGGCTCTGGATCAAGCTTCTCTACCGCATTGTTATCACGGGCCTCGTCTCCCAGCGACTCTACAGCGGCTACGTAAAGCATGTGCGCGACCTCGAGACGATCTTGCGCCAACATGGCCACTGCCCCGGCTTGGACGCACACAAGTGGCGGTACGAACTCGTGCTGGGGGACCCCACTGCGATCGTGCTCATGGACAGTTGGGTGGCGTTTGCTCTCGTCGTCGATACATGGCTGAGCACCAATACGATTGGCGTCGCAATTCTGCTCGCGACCCAAACAGACGACCTCTGGGTGATGTTTCTTAGCTGGGTGTATCTCTCCCGCACGGTACTATTATTTCTGTTCCTTGTTGGTCGATGGAAAATATGACAATATTTTGTTGGACAGGTTTGGTTTGCCTACTTTGCCCTCTGCGCAATCGCGCATACCTTGAAGAAATGGAGAGTCGAGCATGCGTTCAGCGACGTCGACCCTACTCTCGTCGCTGTCGCCGTCGCCATTTACGGCCCACTGCTTTCTCAACTGAGCGCGCATATGGAGTGGCTCGTGCGCTTGTACCACTGGCTCTTTGCCCTCTGTGTACCAGAAAACGCCAAAGCGCATGAGAACGAGCTCGGACCTGGCTGTGCCATGTTCACGCTCATGATTGGCAGCCTCCCGCTGCTGTATGGCTTTGCCCAGCCGCGCTGCCGTACGTCTTTTGATTGAAGGCGTCAATGTAAAGCGTCGTAGGGACGCACGCGTGGAAGCGCAAGGTAGCGCCCGCGATGCTACAGGATTATGCAAGTCCGCTCTACAACAGCTTCAAAAACCGCTTTTTTGTGCGCTTCCTATCGACGCTGCAAACGCCGACACTGCGCGCAGAGGGCGGCTCATTGTACGCTCTCTTTGCGACCAATCCGAGGTACAAGAACTGCCCGACCATCAGTCTTCGAAGCGCCGACTGCTTTCTCCTCTGCTACCACAACGAGGAGCTCGTGACCAAGATACGTCTAAGCCTCCTCGGTAGCCTCGACCGCAACCTTGCAGACCCGGCTTTGGCTGTTCGCATGGCCTCTGTCGTCGCCACATCCAACATGAATGAGCTCGTGCTCCACCCAAGTCAGCCACCGACGCTGCGACGTCCTAGGATACCGTCGCCATGGTGCATTTAACAACTCCCTGTTGTATTTTCTGATAAAACTGTCTCTGTTCAAATGGGCATGGCAGGATCGACTCGAATTCGACTTGCCATTGCACAAACTTTTGTACGCTTTCGTGCTGCAATGGACAACACATCGTCATTGCACCTGTTCCTCGACGTACGGTGCGTCGTAGCGCTCTCATTCACACCTCCA